CTTAAATAAAGCCTTTAGATGATTTCTCATTTCAAGTCCAAGATCCTCCATGCAGCCATAAGGGCGTTAGGTTCCTTTCAGTTTCTCAAGCGCACCAGGTCCTTCCTGCTCCAGGGCCTCCTCTTGTCACTTCTGCCTCTCTTCACCTATCCTTTACCTCAGCCTAAAATGCCACTCCCTTGATGACCTAGGTTTAGTTAAACCCCTTCATTGCAGTGTTCTTTGATAGCCCTTTTAATGCCTTTTAAATAATTCTTATTTTAGCCTTTTAAATAATTAGTCCTCATTTTATATAAATTAAAAAAAATTTTTTTGACGTATAGTTGACTTACAATGTTGTGTTAATTTCTTCTGTACAGCAAAATGACTCAGTTTTTTCATATTCTTTTCCACTATGGTTTGTCACAGGAAATTGAATATAGTTCCCCGTGCTATACGTAGGACCTTGTTGTTTATCCTTGTTGTTTATCCATCCTTTATATAATATTTTGCCTCTGCTAATCCCAAACTCCCATTCCTTCCTTCCCCTATCCCCCCTACCCCTTGGCAACCACAAGTTTGCTCTCTATACCTGTGAGTCTGTTTTTGTTTCATAGATACATTGATTTGTATTGTATTTTAGATTCCACATATAAGTGATACCACATGGTGTTTGTCTTTCTCTTTCTGACTTACTTCGCTTAGTATGATAATCTCTGGATCCATCTATGTTGCTGCAAGTGGCATTATTTCATTCTTTTCGATGGCCGAGTAATATTCAACTGTATATATATGTACCACATCTTCTTTGTCCATTCATTGGTTGATGGACATTTAGGTTGTTTCCGTGTCTTGGCTGTTGTAAATAGTGCTGCTGTGGACATAAAGGGTGCATGTATCTTTCCGAATTATAGTTTTGTCTGGATATATGCCCAGGAGTGGGATTGCTGGATCATGTGGCAACTCTATTTTTAGTTTTTTTTTTTTTTAGTTTTTTTTTTTTTGCGGTACGCGGGCCTCTCACTGCTGTGGCCTCTCCCGTTGCGGAGCACAGGCCCCGGGTGCGCAGGCTCAGTGGCCATGGCTCACGGGCCCAGCCGCTCCGCGGCATGTGGGATCCTCCCGGATCGGGGCATGAACCCGCGTCCCATGCATCGGCAGGCGGACTCTCAACCACTGCGCCACCAGGGAAGCCCAATACTTATTTATTTAATGTCAGTCTCCCCTAGCTGTAGGTTTCATGAGGACAGAGGCCAGATCTGTGTTTTTCCAGCATTCTAGCCCAAGGACCCAGTCCAGTGGCTGGTACTTAGTAGGTGCCCAATATATTCTGATGGAAGGAAAGAAGAATTTGGGTGCTTGCTCAAGGTCATCAAGATAGTAAGTGACAGAGGATGGAAATGTGGTGTGTCTAATCCTGACAAATTATGTGGCCCCTTGAGCCCTTTCCACACTGAGGCATCAGGCTCTTGGGGTTAAACTGAAATCTGCCTCCCTGTACTTTACCCTACTCGGCCTCAGTGCCTCCTGATACAGTCTCTGTGGGTTCTGCAAACCGCAGGGTTGCTGGGCCCTTCCTGACTTGACAGGCTTACCTGATAACTTTGTTGAAAACTTGTGGGATTTGACCCTGCCGGCCTGTTGCCACATTAGCTTGCGGGGAGAACTCCAGAAGCTAGGGGCCTAATAGACATTTTCCTGGGCATCCCTCCTACTCTCATTATCTCATCCAAGTTCTCTTGCATCCTGTATCCCTTGCCTCAGTGTCTTGGGGCAGAACTCAGGGATGATTTGAGGTAAAGCTCTTCCTCAGAGCTCTCACCCATCTCCTGAGTTGAGGCGTTCCCACTTATTTCACTGCCAACGCTGTGGGCCAGAGTGAGTGGCCATGTTCCTGTGCTGCATGATTGTGCAGGGACTCAGTGCCAGAGCTGGACCCAGACTTCTTGGCCTATTTTCTCTCTGTTCAGTTGATGTGCCTAGAAATTCTAAGCCAGACATATTTCAGAGCCATAAGCCTCTTGAGCGCTGGAGAAGTGTTTTCCCCTCAACACTAACATTCAGATTCCAGCTTTGGAGAGTTTCAGTTAGTGGGCTTCCACAGGTTTGGCCCTGCCCTAATTCTTGCTTATCCTTTTGCACTCTCGATAAACATATCAGAACCTTTTGAATTACTGGCCCTCAGTGAGCTAAGTAGCTGATCTTTCTGCAGCATTCAGCAGATGTTAATGGACGTCTTGGGTAGAACTTGGGTTAGGAGTCAGAGGGGCTGCGTTCTCATCACAGCTAGTTTCTTTCCTTTCTGGGCTTTGGTTTCCCCAGGGACGGGGCTGCTCTGGTGTTCTGTGATAGTAACGAGTTCACCTTGAGCCACTTCAGACAGTTTTGTAAGACGGTGAGGTAGGGGTGAAGGCAGGAAGCTCTCTATTCATGGATTCTTGGGGTGGTGTGGCTCTACCTTCTACGCTTGAGGACTCTTGGGAGTCAAGAGAGCCCATTTCTTATAAGGGCAGCTTGGAGTCAGAGATGCCTCCATGTTGAGCAGAGGTTCTGGCAGGTGTAGCTGTGTCTGATCTGGCTGTCACCATCCTCCTTACTCCCTATCCCAGCACCTGTATGCCCACCCCTCCTTCACTGCTATCCCTCACCCAGCTTCAGGGCTGTGGCTTTTTCAGAAGACAGTTGCTTGGAAATAAAAAACAGAGCAAACTCAAGAAAATACAAAAAGGCTAAGTATAATCTATTTCCCTTATAGGTAAAGATAAAATTGTAATAATAAATGCAGAATCCTGTCTAAAAATTCATTTTACAGTTTTGCAAGATGTGAAGTTCTGGAGATTAGCTGCACAGCAATGTGAATATACTTATTAACATTACCGAACTGTATATTTTAAAATAGTTAAGATGGTAAATTCTGTGTTACGTGTGTTTTACCATAATTTTTAGGACAGTGCAAAGAAAAAAAAACAGTAGGTCTTAGACTATATCAACAAATAAAATTCAAGTCTTTTCTCCTTGGGGTGAAGGGGAAATGCTCTGTAGCTATTTAACAATAAACCACAAGGAAAGTATGCAAAATTTGGAATTTCTTTTTGGAGCATGGAATTGGTTATCCATTGTGATTAACCATGGTAATACATAAGCTTTTAAAGTATGAGCATACCTCGTTTTATTGTGCTTTCCTTTATTGCGCTTTGCAGATAATTGTGTTTGTTTTGTTTTGTTTACAAATTGAGGGTTTGTGACAGCCCTGCATCAAGCAAGTCTATCAGCACCATTTTCCAACAGCAGTTGCTCACTTTGTGTCTTTGTGTCACATTTTGGTGATTACAATATTTCGAACTTTTTCATTATTATTAGATTTGTTATGGTGACCTGTGATCTTTGATGTTATTATTGTAATTGGTTTTTTAGACATAATGCTGTTGCACACTTAATAGGCTACAGTAAGTATAAACATAATGTTTAAATACACCGGGAAACCAAACAATCTACGTGACTTGCTTTATTGTGGTGTTCTGGAACCGAGCCCTCAATATCTCTGAGGTTTGCTTGTAATATATGTTCATTAAGGAAAATTTGAGTACAGAAAAATAGGCAAAAGAAAAAAAATCACCTATAATCCTACTACCAAGACATCACTGGTGTGAATATTCTCATACATTTCCTTCTGATCTTTTGATAGATTTGGATTGTCTTTACATATATATGTACCAATAATACTGTGCCTCCAATTTTGTACCCTGCTTTTGACACTCAGTGTTATATCTCAAGCTTCAGTTAACCCACGACCTCTCTAGGCCCTTGAGTATAACTTATTGAGGCATTCTTCTATTGTTGGTCATTTATGGTTATTTCCAATTCTTCTCGTTTTTTTTTTTTTTTTTTACTATTTTTTAAATAAAATATATGTAATGTAAAATTCACCATTTTAGCCATCCTTAAGTGTACTGTCTACTTCCAAAATTTTTCATCACTCCAAACAGCGACTGTGCCCATTAAGCAGTAACTCCCCATTTCCTCCTCCCACCGCTGGTTACCTCTAATCTGTTTTCTGTCTATGAATTTGCCTATTGTAGATATTTTATATAAATGGAATAATATACAATGTTTATCCTTTTGTGTCTGACTTATTTTACTTAGTGTAATATTTTCAAGGTGCCTGCATGTTGTAACATGTATCAGAACTTCATTATTCTTATGACTGAATAACATTTCATTGGAGGGATAGACCCCATCTTGTTTATCCATGCTTCTGTTTCCGGACACTTGGGTTGTTTACACCTTTTGGCTATTTGTGAATAATGCTGCTATGAGCATTGGTATACAAGTGTGTGGTTAGTCTCTGTTTTTATTCTTTAGGAGTGTGTACCTAAGAATGGAATTGCTGTGTCATATGGTAATTCCACATTTAACTTTATGAGGGATTGCCAAACTCTTTGCTTCTTTAATTATAAATAACACTTAAATGAGTATCTGTATGCTTGAAGCTTTTTTGATATTTTTACTCCTTTAAACTCCTTAAGGTGAAATTAATAGGTTAAATGGTGTGACAGTTTGAGACATCATGCCAAATGCTGTCCAAAAGGGTTGAACCTCTTTTGCTTCTGCCACAAGTGTCTGAGAATGCCCTTGTCACCAAACCAGCATTGCACCAGATGTTTCACTGTTTTGAATCTTGGAGAAGAGATGTTGTCCATCTCTGATGGAACCATAATCTGGCTGCACAGTGGCTTCACTGACGTAGTTCCCAATCACCAGCCCTGAGCCCTTCTTTTTCCCATTCTCCTTGTCCCTGATGCTGACCCTCCCAGTCTTCAGGTCCTATCAGATCTGACTTCCTTTCACCCATCTGCCCAGCAGAGATGAGGGCGATCTGGTGTATGAGATATTCTCTAGCTCTGGGGACTCCCCCTATCATGTCGCCTCCTCTACAGAAGACCTAAGGCCTCTGTGGTACCTTCCCACTTTGGCTGATTCTCACGTCTTTTCTGTCTTTTCCTCCTGCTCTTCTCTCCCAGTTCTACAGTGAGTCGGGCATGCCCACCAAACACCTCTCGGACAGTGTGTGTGCCGTGTGTGGGCAGCAGATCTTTGTGGATGTCAGTGAAGAGGGCATCATCGAGAACACGTATAGGCTGTCTTGCAATCATGTGTATCCTGCCTAGAGCTCCTGGGCCACGTCTCTCTTGCCACGTGCACACCCCAGTCAGGGAGGGAAGGGTGTGGTCATGACCCTGGGCGTGCTGTCCAGACCTTTGAGGCTCTGGGCGTGCTGTCCAGACCTTTGAGGGTAGGGGAGTCACAAGAAGCAGACATTTGGGTGATGTCCTCTGCTAGGGAAACCAACCCCCAGGAGTAGAAACGGCTGCCTCCTTTGCTCCTTCTCACAGACGGGAGCCACTCTTACATGTAGCCTGGCTGGATCAGAAAGGAGCCGGCAGCTGCACTAGCTGCCCCGAGACTGGGTCAGTCACAGGGGAGGAACACCCTCTAACTGGCACCCTCAGTTTCAGAATCAAATCCGCCTGAATAGCACTTGTGACATTTACCACGTCCTTACTCAGCTCCCATTCTGTACCATGTGTTATCTCCGTTTTGCCCCATAACAGCCCTGTAAGGCAGAGTTCATTATCCTCACTTCACATATGACGAAGCAGGGTCAGAGAGAAGGGACTTGCCCAAGATTATACAACTGATAAGAGGTGAAGCCAGGATTTGAACCTTCCTCCAGAGCTAGGGCCTGGGCACCTTGAAGACCGGCATGGGGTTGGAGTGCCATCCTGGCCGCCCACCATTTCCCTTGACCAGTGGTGCTCAGATTCCACGAGTTCTGTATCCGCGGCTGGTGCATTGTGGGAAAGAAGCAGACGTGTCCCTACTGCAAAGAGAAGGTAGACCTCAAGAGGATGTTCAGCAACCCGTATCCTTTGTTTGGGTTCTTTTTGGGAGTGGGCAGTGGTAAGAAAGTACTGGCCTGCATCCGGGTGGGTGTTGGGGCCCTCCCTCCTGCCCCCAGCCTGGCTGCTGCCCACCAGTCCATGCAGCTTGTGGTCTTGGGAAGTGGGTGGGATGTGGGGCAGGACCAGCAGCTCAGCTTCTCCTCTTGGTTCAGGATTCCTCAAGGGTAAATCGGTGGTGATAGCAGCTACCATTTACTGCTTGCTTACTATGTGCCTGGCACTGTGCTAAGTGCTTTACTCGTATTAGCTCACTTGATTCTCTAGAGCTTTATGACCTGGGTAATATTATCCTCGTTTTACCAGTGAAACAGTTTAAAGATTGAATAATTTGTTCAAGGTGATATAACTAATGGGTTGTGCCTTACCTGTGACAGGCAGGGCTGGAGACCAGCTCTGTGCCTGTGCAGGGACCTGCAAGGTACAGGGAAGGCGGGGACCCCTGTCCCCATCCACCTGAACACAGGACCTGTGCTCCTCTGAGCTGCCCCTCCCTACCTGACCAGCCCTCCCTACTTTGCCTTCAGCCTCCGCTTCCTCCCTGCAGCCTGTCTGTCGGAAAGTACCCAGCCACTTCTTTGGCCACCCCCCCCCACCCCGCCTTTCCCCTGGGATCCAGGGACTTCTCCCAGCTGCCCTTCCTCTCTCTGCCAGGGTTCCCTGTCCCCTGGACACTAGCTGGGCCGTGCGGGGCCACTGTGTTCCCCTTTAAGGTTCCTTGCTTGGTTCTTCCAGGGTCTAGTTCAGGAACAGTTTAGTAACTCCATGGTCAAGCTGAAGTTTGGGGCTTCCCTTAGTTCTCAGGAATGGGCCCGGCTGTGCTTTCTGATGCCTTCAGAGGGATTCCCCATAGTCTCATGAGGTTCAACCTGTGCTTTCCCCGGAGCTGGTTTCCCAGGCTCCCTCTCCATGTCTTGCCCGGCAGTTAGCTGTAAAGTGAAAGGAAGGGACTTATCTCCAGGGGCCGCTTGGCCTCAGTAGGGCCTGGTGCTCAGTGCCCTTGGGTGGGGATTCCTTAGAGCCTTTGCCTGGGGTTATCCCCTATGACCAGCCTCTTGCTCTGCCCCCTCATGCCTCTGTCCCGAGACTCGATCCCTTCCTTGACCTAGAAAACCTCTCATTTTGGACATTGCAAGAACCTTTGGGTTACCTTATCCCACTCCCCGCCTCCCTGATGCCATCATCACCCATAATCTACAGCAGTCTCGGGCACACTGGCGGTCCAATCTTAGAAGGTTATGCGGAGCCCTGTCTGTATGTTGGTCATGGAGAGCTTAGTTTCACCCCTCCACCCTCTCCCGCATCTGTCCGATCTTCTGCACTTCTTCCTCTCTGCCCTCCTGCCCCCATTCTCTGGGTTTAGCCCTGCATTCCAACATATAGGGGCTGGGTGGGGCTTTCTAGAAAGCAGCTTCCTTTCTCTGTAGGCCCATTTCTGTGGAGCATCTGGAAAGTGTAGGTAGACCCTCTCACCCATCCCCTAGACCAGCCTTAGCAACTCGAACACGTAACCTCTTTTCTTTGACGCAGTGACAGCTGGGAGAGGCCTCATGTCATGTACGGGCAACTGCTGGACTGGCTTCGATACTTGGTAGCCTGGCAGCCTGTCATCATTGGCCTGGTGCAAGGCATCAACTATATCCTGGGCCTGGAATAGTCAGGAAGAAGAGCATCCACCCACCATGGACCTCAGGGCACTCTCCTCCCTGCCCTCCAAGACCTCCTGGGTGGGAAAGACTCAAAGGGGCACTCGGGCCACTCAGGACCCCTCCGGCTGTGTCCGGGCTGGGGAGGGATATGATGGAGAGCCAGCAGGTGGGGCTGTCAGCAGTGGGGGGCTTTTTAAAAGAAAACTATTTTGATGAATATATTTAAAAACCTTTTTTATTGTGGAGCATAGGAATTGCCCCAATTCCTCCAGGCCTCAGCCTCCCTGCTTGAGCAGGGCAGGAGCAGAGCCACAACATTTTTGGTGTAAAGGAGCCATCTCTTCTCTGGCTGAGAGCCCCAGCCCACCTCCCCTTCCTTCTGTATGTGGGGCTTGAGCCTGGTACACTCAGTGTGGAAGAGCCAGGGAGCTCTGGCCAGTGCCACTGATGAGCACTGAGGGGTGAGGTGTCCTCCGTCCTCCCTGGCTAAGGCCACAGTTGGGCGTTGTCTGGCTCCGTCTTCCCTGTTGGGGGCCGTAGGCTGGTGGAGACAAGTGGGACCTTGTCGTGACTTTTGCAGCAAGGGAAGCTCTAGGACCTCGGAATTCACCGGGGATTTGTGTGGGGGTGACCAGAGCTGTAGCAGCTTGGGGAACCTCCCACTAAGTGGGGCTGTACTCAGCCAAGAACAAAGACCATCTATATATAGTTGGGCCACAGGGGTTACTGCTGGCAGCGGTGATTGAGGGCCGCTTATGCAAGCTGATCCTCTGCCCAGAAGTGGTGACACGTGCTGAAGGCCACTGCCACATCACTTCCTTCCCCGAAAGCCGGAGAGCGTGTGTGTGTGTGTGTGTGTGTGCGTGCGTGGTAGAAGAACTATGACAGATGTGAGGCTTCTTCCTGTGGTCAGACATTGTTCCCTTGAAGCTGCCAGGGGATTCCCAGCCCAAGGAATATCCTCATGTCAGCCTTGTCATCCATGAGTCCTGCCTGGGCCTGGCAACACAAGTGGTGAGGTGGGTGGGAAGAGGGTCAGGCCCAGGTAAGTATGGGTTCTGAAAAGGGGTTCCAGGTAGGCCCCAGCTCTGGTCCTAGGAATTTTGAAGGAAATGGGAGGGCAAACGTGGTCCTTCCGTGCTGGGTTCCTAGGGAATATGGCCCTTCAAATGCAGTAAGAACCAAGCAGGATCTTGTCATCCATTCTGAATAAAGCTCCGTGAGCTGGGTTGGAAAGCTGAACATCCATCTTGCTTTTCTTCTTCCCACCTCTTTCCCTGCAGTCCCCGTGGGTGCCTGGCCCTTGCTGCCTCTTGCTCTTCCCATTTGAGAGCCGGGGCCTGGGGGTGGTTGGCCCTGCCCAACATCCCTGAGCAAGGTGGAATGCCGGGCTTTCGTCCTGTAGCAGAAGGTGCCCTGTGCCATCACTGGGTGACTGTCCTCACCACCTGAGGTCAGTGCCCTGCCACCACCACCCCTCTCGCAGATCACTCTCAGCTTTGGCTTCTCTTACCCAGCCGTGGCTTCCGAGGTCTGCATGCCAGTGGGCTTATCCTCAGAGAGTGGAATGGCGGCAGGGAGCATCACTTTTGTCCCCGTACCCCTGCATCAGGCTCATGTGAGAACCGAGGCCAGGCTGTCCAAGGCTGTCTCTTCATACTTCAACAGTCCTGAGTCCCATGACCTCCCAGCAGCCCGACTCTGGCCTTGGTTACACTCACAGGTAGAGTCCTGCCTCCTCTCCCTCGCATCCCCACCCCCTTCCCCAAAGGACTGTGTCTCTGAAGTCCTGGGCAGCTTTGCCTCCTGACCTAACTGCTGGAGACACTGGTGTTCCTAGGGAGGAGTTGCTCTGCATCTAACAGCACAGAAGCTCCTGGGGCAGGCGGTGGGGGAGGAACTGAGAAGATGAAAATGTCAACTAGAGCCCTGGAGAAGAGGAGTTGACTTTTAGTCTCCACGTCTAATTGGGAATGAGTCGGGTTTTTATACATACACACGCCCATGCATATGACACGCACACAAAACCCTTGGGATTGCAGCAGTGTTCGGACACGTCTTCCAAACCTAATTCCACCTCCTGGCCTCCCTGGCTCTGTCCCCAGCATCCCATCCTCCTGATCCCAGACACTTGGGTCTGGTCCTTCACAGTTGCTCGAGCCAGTGCTGGGTACGCGCCCTCTTACCCTGGGAAGCACCCTCTCCTCCTCTTAGGTCCAGTGCTCCAGCTTGTGTTCCAAGTGCTCGGCTTGTCTGAGAGGTTCCTGCCCACAAGGCCTGGAGGTGCTCTCAGTGTAGCTCCCATGGTGTGGCTCACGTGGGGCCAGACGCAGCTGAGCTGAGCTGTGGAGCTCCAAAAACGGGGGATTCCGGAAAGGAGGGTTTTTCAGGGCTTCCTGTGAACCAGGTAGGGGGAATCTAGACTTCCTGGTGAACTTAGATCTGTAGCTCTGGCCAAGGGGCTGGGAGGACAGAAGTGAGAAGGATTCATGGGAGTGATGGGTGGTCATTGGGTTGCTGGTTGGAGGGAGGTGGGGAGCCTGAGAAAGGCCAGAATGTGGATGGGCTGGTGTGACATGGAGTCTGAAATGGTCAGAGTGATCCAGCTTGGGGTCTCCAGTGACTAGGAGAGTTGTCCCTTTGAATATGGTGTGGCTGTGAAGGAAGAAGCAGGAGGCCTGTTCACGTAGAAGAGCAAAGGTGGACACCGAAGTCCTGACCGTTGGCTGGGATGGAAGAATTCATGTGTGAGAGACTCTTTCATTGGTTCATGCCCTGTGTGCCCCTGGGAGGGTGGGCCTGAGGAAGGTTAAAGACCCCAGGCTGATACCATCTGGAAAGCGGGGGGCCTGGGAGTTAGCAAGAAGGTTCCTGGCCAGTTCCTGGCCACTGTGAACTCCGGCTCAGGAAGAGAGGCGCAGTGTACAGGAACCTTAAGGACTGGGCTCAGACTGCTGTCATGTATGTGTGCCTTCTCTTGGTAGCCAGAGTCCGCTCTAGATTCCCTGGTTAAATAAAAGTGAAAGTGAAATAGAAGGGAGAGTTCAGTGCTTTCGCAGAAGGATTTCACTATATATCCTGCCCTTCCCAGAACCAGCTCTGGCAGTGGAGAGAACTTTACCTCCCTTTGTGACTAGGTAAGTCCCTGGTCCTCTTTGGGCCTCAGTTTCCATGCCTGTAATGAAGGGGTTAGATTGGACTAGTAACCAGTATAATGTTGATGGTAATAAGAGCTAGGGTGGGGATCCCCTGGCTTTGTTTTTAGGGGCTGGAAGAGCTCTAGCCTATGCCCGATGCCAGTCCTCCAGGAGTTGTCACAGGTGGACAGGACAGAGTAAATAGCAGTGCCTGACAGCCCACTGAAAAACTAGAGGTAGGGAGGGGCTGTGGAGTCCACAGGAAGAAGGCCACATGTATGCCTGGGATCTAAGCAAGCCACTCAGAAGACGTGGGAGAAGCAGTTTTTCACCATCTCCTCCCCCGCCTCCCCCAGAGAGGAGGAAGTTGTCACAGATATATAGATCCAGGCGTGCCAGCTCCTGACACACGCATCACGACCATGAGACAGAACTGGATTCCAGGTGGGACCTGGGGCTGTGCACGTGCGGGTGGAGGGCTGGGGGGCATCCTGAGACCAGAGTGGAGCCATGTGGCTGGCCCTGAGCCTCACCCCCAGGTGGGCTCCCCTCAGCTGCTGTGCTGTTGCTTTCGGCCTCTGCCCGGATGCTGTGGCTCTGGCTCCATTCCAAGGTCTCCCTGTGCTCCATTCAAAAAGGGCCAAGAGGTGGGGTTTGAGGGGTTCTTCTGCCTCTCCCGTTCCCTGGGCAGAGCCCAAGAATCTCTGCCAGACTTACATCCCGGCAGCAACTCCCTCTCTAGCCAACATCCGAGCTAGGATGCCGGGCAATCCCCGGAGGTCAGACAGCTGCTGACCTCTGTGACTGTCCTTTTTTCAGACCCCAGCCCTCTTTGGGCCCTGCTCCTCTGTGCCCACATCGTCTCCCACCTGGCCAGAGCCACATCTGTGCCTCAGGCCACTACAGCTGCCACTGCCTCAGCTGGGATCGCAAAGGACACCTGCCCCTCCCGGCCCCCAGCGCTCCCGACAGCTAAGCAGTGCCCAGCATTGGAGGTGACCTGGCCGGAAGTGGAAGTCTCACTGAGTAAGGAGCCATTCTGATGGGAGCCCAGGAGGGCACGGTGGTCAGAGGGCAGGCTGAGGGCACGGAGGCACCAAGGGTGGGGTTGGTTTCTGAGCACCTGTCCCCCAACCTTCTGTCATGTAGCCCACCACCAACCAGGTCAGCTTGGCTGAGCACTGACTTCCTCTCCCCGCCAGCATCGCCAGTGTGGCACAGGGCTCAGCTCGCAGCTCCCAAGATGCTCCCTGTCAAAGGGGACGGAGAGGATTCAGACAGAAGGAACAGTCAGCGGACTCCCAGAGCCTTGACTGCAGTGGCTGCAAGCCCAGCCCCTCCTCCCAGAGCCCACTTGCCCTCTGGCCTCCTCAGAGGAGCGGTGGCCTACTGGTGCTGCCTCCTCAGCCAGGGCTCCTAGAGTCACTGGAGCTGGGTGCTAGAAAGGGTCATTCTGAAGAAGAAAGCTCAGGAGTCAAGGACCTAGACCAAGGACCCGTCCCCAAATTCATCCTACTCAGCCAGGGTCCCCTGGTAGATGACCGCACTTCTCTTAACAGACTCTCCACTCCAGGTTCCTGGATCATGGCAGCTGGGAAGCTGGGCAGGGTGGGCAGGCCACAGCGTGGCAGAGGGGAGGGTCTGCTGTACAGTCGGGTTAACAGCCACACGTGTCCCTAGATGGAACGCTGACCTTGTCCTGTACTGCCTGCAGCCGCTTCCCCCACTTCAGCATCCTTTACTGGCTGGGCAACAGCTCCTTCATCGAGCACCTCCCGGGCCGGCTGCGGGAGGGCAGCACCAGGTGAGGGGCGCGGCGATGAGGCCGGTGGGAGGGAGGCCTCCTCCTACGGTCCTCTCATGGCCTTTCCTTCTCTTCTGCTCCAGGCGGGAGCACAGGGGCACGAGGACCCAGCTGTGGAGGGCCTTGGTGCTGGAGGAGCTGAGCCCCGCTCTGCGAGACACCAACTTCTCCTGTGTTTTCTCGGATCCTGGGCAGACTGCCCAGCGTCACCTCGTCCTGGCCCAGCTCTGGGTGAGGAACCCAAGGGATGGACTTCCAGGGACAGGAGGAGCTCTGCTTTGGCGTGGGGAGGAAAGGGTGGGCTCTGTCCACAGTAGCCTGCAGCTAATGCCCACCAATTCCCCGAGCCTGAGGCGGAAACTAAAAGGAACAGGATTCAGGCAGGGGAGGCATGGCCTGGAGAAAAGTGACAAGGGATGTCCCTCCCACCTTGGCCCTGATCCTTGTTTGCTTCACTCCCCCAGGCTGGGCTGAAGACGAGCATACCCCCGACACAAGAAGCCCTGTCCTCCAGCAAGTCCCCTCAGCCTCACCATCCTGATAATGAACCCCAAGCTCCAAAGCCTGGTTGAAATGCCACCTCTTCATTGAGCTCTACACGCTCTCAGCCCAGGCCACATTCTGCATCGACTTAATGTTGTATTTGTTTCGACTGTCCCAGGGAAGGTATGCGGGGAGAGGCTGCTTCTGACCCATAGCTGTATCTCTCTCACCCCAGCAAGACCTACGACGGGTGCTCATAAATGATCTTCAGTGGTGGCATACTGATGTCTGCCCATTCATTTATCCTTTTGGCCATCATTCTACTCACAGAACGTGGCCTGTCTGAGGAGGGAGTGTGGGAAGAGGAGAGAGAATGCCACTCAGAAGCTACAGACAAAACCAGATTCAGGGGACACAGGCCCTCAGAAGAGAAGAGGCCGGCCCATAATGCTCCTCAGGAGCAGAGGCCAGAAATGGAGTGTGGGAAGATCCTGTGGCCTGAGAAAGGCCAGGAGAAGGGATCTGAGAGAAGGTATGTGGGTCTGGAGTCTCCACAGGGACAAAGGTACGCTGCTCTACAAAGCCCAGGTTTCCCTACTTTTCCCACACAGATCAAGGTGTCTCGGCATTCAAGGGAGAAAAATAGACTTTATTTACAAGTAATAACATTTAGAAAAGATCCATCCCTGGCCCTTAAAAACCTTCCCATCACTCCAAATCCCACCCCAGTGAAATCTGGGGAAGGAAGGGGATGAGCTGCCACTGAAGGCTGCCCCCCCCCCGCCCCCATCCCCCACTGAGGCACAGGGCCCGTTTCTCCTGGAAAAGAGCATCCTTCGGGCAACTGTGCCCTTGGGTGGATGGGAGCACCTGGGGGTGGGGCGCTCCCACTAGGTCAATGCCCAGTCCTGGACTTCAAAAGCAAGGGCCCTTGCTCGGCCCAGCCACCGGGAGCAGCAGGGACCAGGGCCTGCTCCTCCAATGGTCGGTCCCTTCTAGATCCAGAGGCTGAGAGGAGGACTGACTGGGCCCAAGGACCCAGCCACTCAAAGCCAGCCCCAAATCTTCTTGTGATGGCGCTGGAGAAGTGACTGCTCTAAGAAAACATCAGGAGGCGAGGCAGGGAGAGGACCCAGACTATCCAGGCTCCGGGCCAACTCTTGAGGACACACCTGTTCACCTGGCGAAGGTCCGGGTACCAGGCCGGGGTGTGGGCAGGCGTCACTGTCTATGGGGGTTTGGCCACTGCTGGCCTGGGAGCTGAGAGAAGGCACTGAAAGGGACAGAACAAAAAGGACCAGGCAAGGGCAGCATCAAGGACACAGGTGGGGCCACTCACTGGTACCGGCTCTTTATTGCTTTGCCTGGAAGAGAGAGAGACAGTCACTCAAGTGGAAGAGACTCGGTGCCAGGCTGCACCAGTGGCCCCCCACACCCAGACTAGGGTCCCCTCCTTGGTGTGGCCCTGGACCCAATCTACCTTCAGGTTACCAGTGGCTGGCTGTGCCTAAGCAGCTCTGGGTGCTCTCGGGAGAAATGGAGGCGTGTCCTTTCCTCCGTAAGGAGCAGCTAACCAGGCCAGGAGCACCTGCTCTCAGCCCCCGCCCTCCCCGCCCTCCAGCAGCCTAGCTCAGCCCTGCCTGGAAGCAGCCCCTGGGGTGGCTGGCGGGGGGGGGGGGGGGGCCCCTGCTCCTACCAGATTCCTAAGAGCCGAACCCTCTCCCTTCCCTGACAGTGCCTCCACCTTGCCCTTGGCCCGAGGGGTGGCAGTGGCAGCGGCGATGGCGGCGGCAGTGGCGGCACTGGCTGTGGTGGTGGCGATGCGAGGAGAGCGGCGGGTCCCACTGCGGGGGTTGGGGGAGGCCTTGGATGGGGCTTTCTTAGAGGCTGCCCTCCGCAGAAGGCTATTCCCGAGCTTCTTGGGTGTGTTGAGGATGCTGAAGGCCATTGACTGGCGGCGGTCAGCCTGTAGGGAGAGGCTGTCAAACTGGGGGTGCCACTGGCCTCCCAGGCCAACCTGCTGCTCCAGGGCTCGGCCAGCAAGGCCCCTCCAGGGTCTCCCTTCAGCCCCTGACTAACCTGTTTAACAACAGCTGGAGCTGCTTTCTTCTGGGCCTCGGTAGTGCTCTGTCTGCGCCCTTCATGTCGGTCCCGGGGAGTCATGGGGCGTGGGAAACAGGTGGTGGCCTTCTTAGACTATGGGGAAGAGGACAGTTAAGCCAGAGGACAAGTGGACCGTGTCCAACCAGCACCCGTCCCCCTTCTGAGCCGGGAGCCTCCCCGCTAATCAACTTATGGGAGCCGACATCACCCACCTCGGGGGTGCCAGGGCCCTGGTGGGGCTCTGCGGAGACCCGTTTGCGCTGCTGCCGGGTGGTGATGCCAGCGCCCTCAGCTATCTGGGCTGGCTGCATGCTCGCTCGGCGCAGGGTCTCCCGGGGGTCACCGGTTTTTATCTCCTCATCTGTGATGGTAGGCAGGCTCAGGGAAGGCTGCGTGGGGTAGAAAAAGTGGTCGGTGGAGCCAAGCTATTTGGAGGTGGAGCAGGACCGCCCCAGAACTCTCTTCACTGGCCTATATTGTGGAGCAGCTAGAGCCTTTCTATCGCAAAAGCTCCCCACCTACGCCCTCCACTATGGCTGCAAAGAGCAGTCCCAAGAGACCTCTCCAAGCCTCCTGCCCACCCACAGGACCTTCACCCCTGAGCTCCCTCCCTGCCAGCTATTTGACTGGAAACAGGTCACCCTCCTTGGCAGGCCAGGGCACTGGGGTGGGATGACGAGGAAGAGGTGAGCCAACAGGGGCAGGTCCATGGCAGGGGGCCCCAGAGCTCACCCTGGACTCCAGAGGGTAGCAGGTCTTTAAGTGCGGGGGGCACACTCGATTGCGCTGCTGCAACTCTGCAATGCGGTTCCAGTCATCCAGCTGCTCAGGCTCATCCTGGCAAGTGCCCATGTAGAAGCTGTTCCTGCCTGTGGAGGGCGAGGAAATTGGAGCAAGTGGGGCTGGAAGGCCAGGAGGAGAGGGGGGAGGTAGCATCCCACCAGCCTTTGCTGCCACCACTCCCATGCACCTAGCCCTTGAACTTCAAGCCTAGCACCCCAGAGCCCTGCTCTGCTCAGTGCTGCAGATACAGGCTCGGGGCTCACAGACCATCCCTACCCTGGGGACTGGCTCATTGCTTCCTCCCTGGGGTCATATGCAGAGGCTGTGACACCAAGAGAAACTAATGGAGGGTCAGGAATCGATACCCAGAGTGGTCCCTGAAGGCAAGAGCCTCAGAAAAGAATCTGAGCATAGCTCCCAGGCCAGTCTGGCCTCTCTGGCAGCCCCTTCCCACCCGAGAAGGGGCCTGGAGGACGACTGACAGCAGCCGGGCAGCACTCTTGTGCTGGGAATCCCAGGCCCGTCATGTGTTTTCTGGTTTATAGCCTGGCTGAGAATGACATCAGTGTTATTGCCCAGCACAGCCCCTTGATGTGACAACAGGCAAGGCCCTCAGACTGCAGGGAGGAGAGGCAGGTGAGGTGCTGGGTGGCGGCCAGGAAGCCAGCCTTGGGTTTTTAAAAGCTTGTCCCTTCCCTGTGCCAGGATCTGCTTCCAGTCTAATCTTTGGGTGTGTTAAGTCCCCACAATCCCCTCACCTGGAGGGGCCCCGCTGGACACCCCAGCCTGGGAGCGGCGAGCGGAGCTGCGAGTGGTGGGCCGGTAGCCAGGCAGGCTTAGCAGAGCCGAGTTGCCGTCGTCGGGAGAGCCCAGGCGGGCTAGAGACTGGGTGGAGGAGGCAGCTCTTGGGCCAGCCTGGGAAGCAGGGGCAGACTGCGTGCTATAGAAGGAGGAGTTGGCGCTGTCTGGCTCCTCCACATCTAGCTTCTGGAAGAGAGGATGCACCTGTTGTAGTAGGGATAGGGGCCCTGACACCCCATCAAGAAGCCTCCCGTTCCCCTTCCCGAAGCGCCTCAGACCCCATGGCTGCACGTATCCACACTGCCTTGCATGGGGTCCTTAGCTGCACTTCTGCAAGAAATGGGCCTTGTTGCCAGAATCCCACACAAGGTACTGAGGCTGTCAAGACTCTTTTTCTGTCCATTTTTCCATTGAGTCTATTAACAATGCTTTGAGGGAGGGAAGGCAGAGTGCATCAGACCATTTTAGAAGTGAGGTGCAAAGGAATGAAGTGACTGGCCCAAAGGGCACAAAGCAAGGAAGCGGCAGAGCTGGGGCTAGAACTCACGTCTCCTGAGCTTGTTGGGTTCATCCCACAGTGTCCTTCCACCCAAGTGTGCCAGGCCCCTGACCATCTTTTAGAACTTCTCCAGCTTCTCCCCACCAGAGATGCCCCCCTCCTCTCCTCCCCAACCTCCTAGTGCTATGGAAACAAGGACCAGAGCCCCCAGCCAGGCAGGCAGCCCACTGGGCAACCACAACGCATCTCAGCTACCCAAGGGTGTACCCAGGGGTGTGTGGGGAGGCACGGGCCGGACTGCAACTTCTCCACATTGTCTCCCTTAAGCCTGCACAGGGTCACTGCTGTACACGGAGAGGACAGCAGCCTTAGAGTCAGTGGACAGGCAGCCACGTCCAGCCCTGCCCCTTTCTACCAGAGGCCTAAGCAAGTCACCACCCTTAAGCTTTCCCATCTGTGGGTATGGACTGGTCAGCCCTGCCTGCTTCTTGAGGCTGTTTTGAGGACCCGATGGAAAGATGCCCTTGAGAGGAAGCAAGCATTGCTACCCTGCAGCCCCACTTGCAGCAGCCTGACCTTGGTCATGGTGATGTTGATGATTTGCGTGGTGCGCCGACGAGAGGAGCGGGTCTTCCGGCCTGAGTCCAGGAAGACATCCCCCAGGGAGTCCAGGCTGCTCTCCAGGGGGGGCTGACCCCGAGCGGGGATGGGGGTGAAGTAGAGACTCTCCAGGGATTCTACCTTGGGGGGCAGACGCTGGGAGATGGGCGAGGCTGGCTCTCCAGGGATGCTGGTGCCATCTGGCTGGGTACGAGGCAACTTGCTGTGGGGAAAACATCTGCTGAGGTGCCATTCCTGGGGCTACAAGGCATTTTGTCCATCCCTTTGCTCCAGAGCGACCAAGTCCTACATTTATTATTACAAGAAGACTAAGTCAAGCACCCCACCCTCTCTGATTTCTCAGAGGTATCAGGGAGAGTTCTTGACCTTGGCCTTCCGTTCTCCATCCCTGGTGAGCCTATCCACTCCATGGCTCTCTGAACTCAATACTGGCAATTCCCAAACCCTGCTCCCAGACCCATATATCCACAGCCCCAGACCTCCCCCATGGATTCCACAACTAACGAACATGTCCCAAACCAAGTCCATTGTCTGTTTCTCCTCCTGTATCTCCTATTTCAGCAAGTAGGAGCTGGGAGGGGCGGCCTCCACCCAAGCCCCCAGCCACGAACGAACACAGGCACAGTCCTACCTCTTCCCTCTCCTGCCAAACCCAATTGGCGAGTGAGTCTCCTGAGAGCTCTCCTAACCACACCATACTCCACTCTCACGCCCCTCCCTGCCTGCCTTGCCCCCTCTCACCTAGACTTACAACAGCCTCTGAGAGACACAGAGTGGAGACAAACAAGGACTCGAGCCAGGCTGCCCAGGTTCAAGCCTAGCCCTGCCACTGTGGCACCTTGGGCAAGTGACCGCCCCTCTGCCCCAATTTCATCTGTGAAAGGAGATGATCATGGACGCTTCCTCAGAGTTGTTAAGGGGTAAATGAATGAATACTTTTCAGGTGTTTATAACAGTGTCTGACACACATAAGTGTTGAACATTTCTAAAAACACATTTATTGTTTTTATTAAAGTCTCAGTTTTCCCCTATCAGGACAGGCTTTCTAAGATGCAAACCGGACCATGTGCTCCTCAACACATGTGCTCACCCCCCACTCAGTGGGGAGTCCAGCCGGTCCTCAGGGACTTGGGCCCAAGCCCTTGCAACTTCATGTTCCAGCCCATCCAGGCTCTTTCTCGGCCTCTGCTCTCAACCACTCTCCTCCGTCCATCAGACACACCCCTATGGCTTCTTTCAAGACTCAGAGCAGGAGTGACAGCCTCCATGATGCCTTTTCTGACCACTCATTTTTATTTACTCCCACTGTGCTATATACAAACATCTGGCCTAATACCTCTAATACTTTCTTTATTCTTCTCTAAGAATAAGCTTCCAGAGGGCAAAGGGTTCACGTCTTATTTATCTCACAGCCCCAGTGCCCAGGATACAGCCTGATAAACAGGGGGCGCTCAAAGGACAACAGACGGAGGGAGGAAGGGTGCCTCCTGACCTGGTGATAGTGAGTGGGGTCCCCTCCTCGCAGCTCAGATCCAGGCTGTCAATGCTCAAGTCCAGCTGAGGCTTAGCCTGCGGCTCCCGGCTCTTTAAGGCGTCAGTCGCCACCTGGAACTTGCCCAGGTCCCGAAGCTGCTGGTCAGCGTGGGCAACCTGGGAAGGAGAGCCGAGGGAGAGTGAAGGGAGGCCTAAGCAGGGATGGCTGAGGAGAGGAGGGCGTCAGTGCAGCCAGGGCCCTACCTGTGCCTCCAGGCTGCGCACCTGGGCGGTGAGGTGACGGCAGGTCTGCTCGGCCTCCCTGGTCTTCAGCCCGGCCTGCTGCAGTTCCCGGCCCAGCCGATCCGCTTCAGCCCGCAGCTCCTTGTTCTCTGTCTGCAGCTGCTCCAGGCCCCGCAGCTGCTCCTGCAGCTCTTGGTTCTGCTGCTTCTTGGCATCATAATGAGTCTTGGCCTTCTCCATCTGGGTGGGCAGAGGGCAGGTGTGTTGGTGGGGCTGGGGTAGGGTGGGGCAGGAGGGCAGGTGGGCAGGACCAGGCTCCTCACCTGCAGCTTGTAGTGCTCAGCCGCCTGCTCCTTCTGGCTCAGCTGGGCCTGCAGCTCATTCAGCTGGGCCTGGAGGCGCTGCGCCTCTTGCTGGCTCTCACCTCCCTGGGCCTGGAAAGCACAAGAAGGGCTGATCAGGGCTGCTGGTCTGTTTGCTCCACCCGAATCCATAGCCTCCTGGGCTCCATGGATGTTTTCAGACTCCTGCCTAACCTCTCAGGACACACAAAAAGACCTTTTACCCGCTCCCAACTCCAGCCTACCAAAACACCACACACCCCTCAAAGTGCACCTTCTATAGGAGCTTTTCCTGTCCAGCTAATGCCATTTCTGGAAGAGTTCTGGCAGCCTGCCTTTGCTTCTTTGAGACCAGGCACAAACCATCTCACTCTCTCTCCATGAGTACAGTCTCCCCGAGGAGGAAGGGCACTGATCCCCAGGGAACACCAGGGTGCAGAGCATGGAGCTAGGCACACAGCATGTGTGCTCTCTGAGGACACGTGAATTCATTTCTGCTCAAAACCACTCTAGGAACTAACTATCTCCACTTCAGAGATGAAGAAACTGAGCTCAGACCTTGAAAGCAAATTGACCAGGGTCACAGTAACTAAATAGCAGAGTAAGACTTGAACCTTGGTCCACCTGACTCCAAAGCCTGTGTGGGCTCATTTATGATGCCGGCACTGCCTCCTATCCAGACCATAGACTCCTGGGGAGCAGGGCCTGTGGCGGATTCTCTGTCCACCTACAACACCAGCAAATACTACGTCTGTAGCAGGCACTGGACAGGGCCATCCAGATCCAGCCTTACCTCTCCACATCTCCCAGCACCAGGAAGGCCCCTAAGAAGAGTGTAATAAGCATCTGTTTATCACGTAATTGTGACATGGTGTGGAGTACATGGCAGTGAGCTGGGGAAACAAAGCTGAGCTCCCACCAACTCTGTGACCCTCCGAGGGCCACTGGTGCCAAATTCCTTTGCCCCTAACTAAAAGCTGTGACGCCTAGAGCTGCAAAAAAGCAAATATTAAACCAAAGAAGGTGACATCGCTGAAAGCATTAAGAATATTAAATTGCATTGTAATATTAAACGTTACTGACGCTCCTCCCTGAGATTTAGCAGCGCAACCCAACTGAACTTTCTGCAGTGATGGAAATGTTTCTGCAGTGATGGAAATGTTCTGATTTGCCCTGTCCAGTACAGCAGCCACTAGCCACACATGGCTACTGAGCAGTGGAACTGTGGCTAGCGCAACTGAGAAACTGAATTTTAAATTTCATTTCAATTTAAATAACCACACATGGCTAGTGGCTACTGTAGCAGACAGTGAAGGTATGGGGGTTGGGGGCCACTCCAGTCTTCCCTTGAGAGCTCCCAGAGGCACAGGCGGGGCTCCTGAGGCTGCCAGGCCCCAGGGTGCCCCAACCCAGGGGCTTAGCACCTTCCCTCCCCGCTTGACCTGAGGCTAGCAGAGGGCAGGCCCATCCCCCAGCTGTCCCACCTTCAGCTTCTGCTGCTGCACCTTGCTGGCTTGGTCATGGTCAGCTAGCTTCTTACTCAGTTCTTCCACCTGGGGCAGGAAGGGAAAAGGAGAAGACAAGACTCAGGGAGGCCTTCCCCTGGATGTCCAGACAAATTACGCGGTTTTCCCCAGACCAGTCCCCAGTGTTCCTGGAAGAGGAAACTCAGGTCCTTTCTCTGGCCTCTAATTAGGGAACGGCCTGCTGCCCAGGCTGGTCAGCAGGACATTGAGTGATGTGACCCAACTCAAGTGCTGCCAGAGCCACCTGCCTGTGCTCGCCTCCAACCCCCACCTGCAGAGACAGAGACAGCAGAGCCAACTCAGGAGCCGACACCCCACCACGTCCTACTGCCACTGCTCCCAGCCCCAACCTTCCCGGGCCAGACAGGACCAGGGGACCCAGTCTACCACTCCAGCAGACGTACTCAGTGAGTGCCCCTCCCCGCTCCTCCCAGATACGGCCAGAGAAAAAGCCAGATGCTCGGACCTCTTCCCAATATCCACAAGCCGTTAGGGTTGGTGCTAGCGGTGTGGCTGCTGTGATTAGCACTGGGGGTCAGGCTGCTGGAAGAGGAGGGCAGGGGCAGCACATGTACTCCAAGCCCACCCCACTCCCACAGAGAGGAAGAGAGAAGGGAGGGAGGGGACGAGAGGGAGCATAACAGCCACAAACACTCCTGGCTCCCCCAGGCATTCCAGGAGCTCAAGCATGATCAGCAAAGGTGAGAGGCAAGGGCTCCATTGCTAACTGTTTGCCATTCAGTTTGAGCTTCCCCATCATCTCAGGCTCCTCGGAGGAGATGATGGGAGGAGAGAAGGGCCGACTCCTCAGCAGGCCCAAGGTGACAGGGTAGGAGGAGTGGTGGAAAGCGTGCTCCCACTAAATACCAGTTCGATAGCTTTGACGTCTAGGGCAGCAGAGATCCTTGTGAGGGCACGGCAGCCAGACCTCCCCTCCTCTGACTTGTGGGAGCCCCTCCTGCTCCTCTCAACCTTGGCCTTCTTGCTCCCAGACATCACTACTCCATGCTCGGGGTTAAAACCCCAGAGAGTGATGGGCAGGCGTCCTGAGCTCACAACCCCCCTAATCTATGGGGACCTCCTGCACATCATCTTTCTGGTTTCTGTGGGAAAGAAGGGGCCTGTGTTAAACAAGGCCCATGGGCATCCTGCGAGTCCCCACAGTTGAGTACCCAAACTTGGAGCAGGTCTTGGAGGTTCAGGAATCCCAAGAGCAGTCTGTCGCTGGATCTGGTATGGGAAAGATGAAGCCTACCCTACCCCTCATCCCTGACAAGCGATGAAAGCACAGAAAAGTGGAGAGGCCGACCTGGGATGGGTGGGATGAGGCCTGAGAGAGGGCCTAGCACACTGCACTCCGGGGCGGCCTGGGCCTGGGTTCCACGGCTTGACCCTGCCCCCTTCACAAACAGTTCACAACAGGAGCCAGCGGAGGCAAGCTGCAGCCGGGGTCATGCACCGAGACCAGTCACCGCTTAAGCAGCCAGCATTTAGCGAGGACCTCAGGCATTACCTGCTTAGTTTGCTCTCTCTGAAATAACTCTAGCTGCTCCACCTGTGCGTGGGGAGGAGCAACGGAGACAGCATGAGATGGGGGCCGAAGAGGCACTGGCCCTGGTGCCAGGCCGACCTCACCGAGGCTCTAATCTTCCCATGGAACTAGACGTCTAAAAATTTTTGTAAATGCTAGCTCGGGTCATTCTAGTCGCCGGTGGCTCTCGGGGCCTCCACTGCAAGTGCACCTCCTCACGACACTGTGCCTCAACGGGCTGATGGCCTTTGCAGCCTGACTCTCCAGGGACAGAGACTTCGGAGAAGAGGAGGCTATTGGTATTTTCTGTAGGCCAATGGGGTGGGGGCAACAGACTTGAACTCTACCAGTCACCTCTCTTTCTCTGCCACCCAGTGAGTGTGGGAAGACAAGACACTCTAATCATGTGGGAGCCGGAGGCCCAGGAATGCAGAGAGACAACGTCCCCCCCTCCCACAGGGCTGCTCTCTGGGGGCGTGCTTGAGCTGGATGCCTCACCTGGGCTGTGAGTTTCTGCCTCTCCTCCTGGAAACGCTGCCTCTCCTCCAGGACCTTGGCCTTGGCACCCTCGTACTTGGCAGTCATCACCTCCAGCTCCCGGGCAGAACTCTGTGCCTCCCGCTGCATCTCGGCCAGACGGGTCTCAGCCTCAGCACGCACAGCTGCCAGCTCTTGGCCGTGCTTCTCCCGGGCCTGGTCCAGCTCCACTTCCAGGAACTGCCGGCCGAGGTTGGCCCGCTCGCCCAGCCCCCGGTTCTCCTCCGCCAGCAGGCCATGAGCCTTCTTCAGCATGCTCAGCTGCTCTGCGTAGCTGGCCTTCTCTGCCCGCAGCTGCTGGGCTGCTCGCTCCTGCTCTGCCACCTTCTGCCGCAGGGGCACCAGCTCCCCGAGCTCGCGCTGGGCCCGCAGCAGCTCTGCGCGCAGCCCACCGGCTGCCTGCTTGCTCTGCTCCAGCTCCTCTCGATGGCGTTTCTCAGTGGCTGCCTGCTCAGCCTGCAGCTGCTGGCACAGGTGCTTAGCGGGCAGCAGCTCGCTCACCAGGGCCTGCGTGCTGGTGTGCTCAAGCTGCAGGGCAGAGAGGGCCTGCTCCTTCTGGAAGAACTTCTCCTGCCAAGCCTTCAACTCTTGGCCCAGCTCTTCTGCTCGCTCTGCCTGCGAGGCCAGCTCCTGCCTCAGGCTCTCGGAAGCCACCCGCTGCTTCTCCGCCTCCTCCCGGAGGGTCTGGACCTCCTCCCGCAGAGCGGAACTGCGTTCCGCGGCCCTGGCGCTGCTGCTGGCCGTCTCTGCCTGGAGCAGACGCAGCCTCTCTTCCAGCTTCTGACTCTTCTCTGACTCGGCAATAACCAGCCGCTTCAACTCCTTGCTCTCGCCTTCCTTCTCCAGCACCTGGCGGTTCAGGATGGACACCTCCTCCTCCAAGCTGCTGATGAGGCTGTTTTTCCTCTCAGCCTCCTGCTGACTCCGGGCCACCTGTGCCTTCCACCCATCCTCAGCCTTGCCGTGCTCTTGGGCCTTGGCGCGGAGGATGGCCAGCTCCCTCTGGACTGAGGCTAAGGTGTCCTGACCGCTCCCCAGTTCCTGGGCCTTCTGCTCTAACTGGCCCCGCAAAGTCTCCAGAGCACTGGCCTGCTCCGCGTGGGAGGCGCGCTCAGCCTCGAGGCTGCGCTCCAGGCTGGAGGACTTCTCCTGATACTCGCAGACCTGTTGCTCCAGCCTGCTCACCTCTGCCCGCAGAGCCTCCAGCTCCGGGCCTGTTTGCTCCGTCTTTCCGGTAGCCTCAGACTGGGCTCCCGACCCGGAAGCGTCTTCTCGGCTGGCTGTCCCTAGAGACTGTGGGCACTCCTCCTCTTTCCCGGCCAGCTGTTCCTTCAGCCGCTCCACAGTCTGCTGAAGCTCCTTCAGCTCTGCCCCCTGGGCTGCCTCCTGCCCACGAAGCTTGGCCAGCTCCTGATCCTTCCCCTCCTTTTCCATCAGGGCGCGGGCCAGTGCCTCCTGCAAGGCAGCAAACTCCACACGCTGCTCGTTGAGGGCATTCTGCAGCCGCATCTCAAGCTCGGCCTTGGCGGCCTTCTCCAGGGCAAGGTCGGCTTGGGCCCGGCCCCGCTCCTGGGTCAGCCGCGCCACCTCCCTCTCCTGCTGTCCACGCTCCTCCTGCTGCTGCCCCTGGCTCTCCATCAGCGCGGCGCGCAGCCTCTCCAGCTCACTGCCCATTTGCTCTGCCTCACGCTCCATGGCCTGCAGTGCAGCCTGTGTGCTGCAGAACGGGCGTCCCTGATGCTCTTTCAGCCACTCCGACTCTCTGTCTCCTGCCCTGGGCGGCTCCTTGAGTAGCTCCTGGGAGGCCGTTTCATGCTGCTCACCCGCCTTGCGCACCAAGGCCTCCAGGCGGACCACCTCCTTGCTGGTGGCAGCCATCTTCTCCTGCAGAGCGGACAGGTCGTCTGCGAGCTTCTGGGCCCTGACCTCCTTCTCCTGGACCTGCTGCAGGGCCCTGGCCAGGCTGGCGTGGAGCTGAGCAAGCTCACTCTGCTGCCGGCCGATCTGGAGCTCGCTGTGGGCCTCTATCCCTGCCACCTTCTCCTTTGCCTCCTGCAGCTCCTGGCGGGCCTTCTCGCATTCCTCCTTCAGGGTCATCAGCTGTTCCTGGAATATGGCTCCGTACTGTGCCTCCTCCTGCTGGCTGTCCTCGTACCGCTCACGCCAGGTGGCCACCTCCTTGGCAAGCTGCTCACACTCACTCTCAGCCTCGCGCTGGGAGGCGATGGCCTCAGCCAGCTCCTGCCGCAGGGCTTCTGTTTTGGCCTGATGGGCCTCCCCGAGCTGCTGCAGTCGGGCCTCCAGCCCCCTGCGCCCAGCCTTCTCTTCTTCCAGCTCCTGCTGTTCCTGCTCGTGCTGCTCCACCAGGCTCCGGGCCTCTGCCTCCAGCCTGGAGATGCATCGCTGCTGCTCTTCCAGGATGTCTGCAGCCCTGTGCTTCTCCTCTTCCAGGCTGCCCTTGGTGACCTTCAAGGACTCCTCAAGGGCCCGGACCTGCTCCTGGAGCTGGGCCTTCTCCTGGGCCACCGTTTCTCTCTCGGTTGCTTTTTGCTGCTCAGACCTCAGCTGGGCCTTCAGCTCTGCCACCTGGGCCTGCGCCTCACACCGCTCCTGGTGGGCTGCCTCAGCACGGGCATGGAGCTCCTCCACCTTCTGGCTCAGCTCTGCCTTCTCCCGCCGGGCCTGTGTCACCGAGGTCTGGGCACTGTCCCGGGCTTCACTAGCAGCCTGAAGCTGCTGTTGCAGGACTTCCAGCTCGGCGGCCTTCTCCTTCCCCAGTGCCTCCAGCTGCTGGAGGGCCGCATCCCTCTCCCGTAAAGAGGCCTCCCGCTCCTCAGCCGCAGCGGCCAGCTGCTGGGCGTGGTCTCGCCGGGTGGCCTTCTGCTCCTTGGTGGCCTCTTCCAACTGCTGTTCCTTCTGCTCCAGGCTGCTGCTCAGCTGCTCCACCTGCTGGCGGAGGCTCTGGGAGGCCTGTTCCTGCCGCTGGAGGGTCTGCGCGAGCTGCGCCTGCTCTGTTTGGGCCTGCTGCTTCAGGCCAGCCAGTTCTTGATCCCGCTGCTGGACGGTGGCATTGAGGGTGGCGAGCTCGGAGGTCATCGTGGCCACCTGGGCAGACAGCCGGGCCCCTTGAGCCTGAGAGGCCTGCTCCAGCTCTTCCTTGGCCTGGCCAAGGTTGGACAGGGAGCCCTGCAGCTCGGCAATCAGGCTGGCCAACTGCTGCTTTTCTTCTTCAAAGTGGCTCCGCTCGGCAAGCAACTTGGCTTCCCGCTGGCCCAGCTCAGTCTCCAGCACCTCCACTCTGGCTTGGAGCTGGGTGTTGTCTGCAGCGAGAGTGGCTGC